ATATTATATAATTGAATATTTATAAAATATGTCAATGTTTTATATAATTATATATGAAGCATTTTTTCTCGAGAGAGAGAAAAAATTTAACATAATTTTTATTCTTTGGACTTTGTATTCTATTTTTTTTTTCTTTCCAGTGACTAATTATAAAAAGAAAATAATTATAAAATCATTTTTAATATTATACATGGATATATTAGGCCTTTTCTGTATAATCTTTACAATTTTTTAACTTATATTTCTTTAACAAATATAATACAAAAATATCATGAATACTGATAACCCGTAACATGTGATGATCAAGTCCTTTGAAATTGACTTGGCACAGAATGTGTTTATTTTAAATATATAAGTATAAGAATAAGTAAAGCATTTAGAAATCTTAATAAATAATATTGTCATTTAGGTAACTGGTGGAAACAAGGGTATCGGCTTTGCCATTGTCAAAGCCCTCTGCCAACAATATGATGGAAATGTTTATTTGACGGCTCGCGATACCACCCGTGGCTTGAATGCCGTCAGTGAATTGAAAAAACAAGGTTTGAATCCAAAGTTCCATCAATTGAATATCAATGATGACAATAGTGTTAATACATTCCAGGATTATTTGCAAAATACGTATGGTGGCCTCGATGTGCTGGTTAACAATGCTGCCATAATGTTTCAAGTAATTAAATATATATTACTATAATAATTAGTTAATAATTAAAGACATTATTGATATAGTAAACGCAATATTCGACAAATTTCTAATTTATTTTCAAAAATGTGATTATTTCTAAAAAGAATAACTTGATTTTAAAAAGAGAAAAAATAAAATTGCTACTCTATATATCATATTTGAATATAAATTGAATAACTGAATGATTTTGTAAAAATAAAATATCGAGAAGATATAATGAAATTTACTTATTACAGAGCGATGCTACGGAGCCTTTTGAGTTCCAAGCGGAAGAAACTATACGAATAAACTATTTCAGCTTGCGTAGAATGTGTACTGCTCTCTATCCATTACTCAGATCACACGCGCGGGTGGTTCATGTCTCTAGCAGTTTTGGATGTCTGTCACAAATTACTGGTGATAACTTAAAAAAGAAATTAATCAATCCAAATTTGACTGAAACAGAATTGGATAAAATCATGCACGAATTTGTCGAGTAAGATTCAACATTTTTTTATAATTGCATTGATTATACATTAATTTTTCAAGATTTTTATTCTTATATTCTTATATATGGATTTATTTCCAGTGCTGCAAAATCTGGTACGCATTTACAAGTCGGGTGGTCAGATTCAGCATATGCAGCGAGTAAAATAGGCGTTAGCGCCTTAGCTGGTATTCACCAATCCATGTTCACTGCGGATTCCCGAAAAGACATTGCGGTGAATGCTGTACATCCTGGTTATGTAGATACTGATGCTACTTTGCATAAGGGAATTTTGACTCCAGATCAAGGAGCTGTAGCTCCTGTTTACTGTGCATTGTTGCCGAAAAATACAGAGATAAAAGGAAAATTTATCTGGTACGATAAGACATTAGCAGATTGGAAATAAGCATATGGAACATAGATAAGATAGGTAAACTGGTTTGTACTGCTATAATATATAACATGTTCAAATGTATAAATGAATAAATACGTGGATGTTAAATAAACTATAACATAAATTTAATAAAAAAATAGAGTAAAGCTAGAAACATATAAAAAATCATAAACAATAAGCGAATCGACCAATCACAGTAGAGAACGTAAAGTAAGTCGTTTCATTCACAGTAAGTACATCTTATTGCCTTATGTTTTTTTATGTCTGACTTAAGGATAACAAAGAACTTATAAAAACTACAAAAATTATTTTGTTACAAATGTCTTTTATATTAAAATAACTGAATAAAAATATATATTGAAGAATGTTACATTATTATCCACGTTTTCAAAAAAAATTTGTGAATAACGCAAAACGATTCCATATATTATTTCTATACTAAATACAAAATAGTAGTATTTAAAGAGAAGAAATGGATTCTTAATGTAAGCAATATATTTAATGAAATTATGAGCTATCTTGCTTGAGCATTCATTGCTTCCCTCCGTGCCGCTTCAGTTAAAAGATGAATGTCTACCTCATCTACTGGAAGTTGTACATATCGCACCACAGATCCACGGATAAAGCAATTTTTTACCGATAACTGCAATTTAATACACAATTCGTTAATTTTATTTATTTGCACATTAATTTTAATGGCATTGCATGTCTATTGATGAATCAATTTGTATAATTAAATTTCTCTCCATTCATATAAAAAAGATTTTAATCTAATTGACAAACTGTGATATTTTGTAGCTTATGAGATGTCGATCAAAAGTTTTCACAGATACAAAGTCTTTTATGTTTAAAAAAATGAACAAATTCATCATTTGAAAGTTGCTATTTTGAGTCTAATTGAATTAAAAATATTCACCTTTATCTATAGTACAGTTTTTTAATTGTATAAGCAATTAAAAACACTTATATAAAATGAACCACATATGTGTCCATTTTCGAAATTCATATCTCAGTGCCTATGTAAGGAAAAGGATAGTATGCTTCTAAATATGTATATTGGTGTGTATGTATTTGCATCTGTATCTACATTAATATCTGACATTTTTAAATATGATTATATAAATGTCTACATTGTTGAAAAAACAAACTATACTATAGATATAAGTACTTTTCAATTTGTTTAGATTTAAAGTAGCAACTTTCAGAAATGTGTCCATTTTTTTAAATATGATTGTGCTTTATGAAGACTCTATTTTAATCAGATTTTCATAAGCTATAAAAGATGCCTTTCATTGCCATATTGAATATCTATATATAGTATATATGTACATAACCTAAATATAGATTTTCAGTGCTCAGAGTGAATAATCAAAATATTATAGTTTCTAATTTAATTAAAATCCTTTTTTAAAAACAATTAATGCAAAATTTCCTTTATATGATAATGTCAATGGTAATTAACATACCATGTGAGGATACTTCTCTGAATCTGTTACGCTAATGTCAGCCAATTTTATGTTCAGATACTGATCGACAGAATATAATGTGCCGCAGATACTAAAACAAAATATCATATTGCATAATATGTGTGATGGTCATACTACACTGAATTAGTACACATTAAAGGCTATTTTAAATAAAGTATCTAAATGCAGTGACATAATAAACTCGACTTTGACAGTAAAATTACAAGTATATTCTGTTAAATAAATGTAATATCTAATCATTTCAAACATTTATATACTTTTGCAATTAACTTTATTAATTTCATGTATAGTAGCTTTTAATATGTATTAATCTAAGACGGAATTTGTTCACAATCAATGTTACTCAAAAAACAATCATGTGATGACGTCTCACCTGAGGTCATTTTTCAATTCGACCACTACGTCCTTTCCGATCAAGGATTTGAAGAAGGAATAAAACAGCTGAAATTAAAAATGCGCTCAGTTGAACTTGATACACATCCGAGTGTTATTCGCATCTATGAAAAGCCGAATTCTACATGTCTTCTTAGTGTGAAAATCTTTACGTTAAGACTTACCATGATAATTTGCGAAAGATCACTGTGATTGTATATTCAGTATCGTATATGCTAGTTTACAAGTATTTATAATAATAAATGCGTTCCAAACAAATCTCGGCGGTAAAATTATAATCTATGTCTATAGGTTCACGAAGCATCAATATGAACAATGCATGAAATAGAAGGTACATAGAATGGAAACTTGAACAATTCGCATAAATATTCAACAATCTTATTTGTAATTGCACGTGTACTTTCTGCACTTAAAATATTGAAGAAAAAGAAAAAAAATTGAAAATACAAAAAGTTCAGTCATAGAACAAAGTTCAAAATAAATTGTGATATATATTCAATCTTGTTTATACTAGAGTTCCTCTAGTAAGAGTTCAGTCATCAATGATAATTTTTTAATGATTCCTCCATATTCAGAATGAAAGCGATAAGACAGAGAAAATAGTGTTAGTCTTAGGGGCTCCGCACAGTAAAAGGAACAGAGAACAGAGAATAAGAATTTCAACCTATCAGAAATCATGTATTGCGAAATACACAGTTTCTGATAGGTTGAAATTCTTATTCTTTGTTTTCTGTTCCTTGTTTCTTTTATTGTACGAAGCTCCTAAGAGTTACGACATCTATCTCGCCCGCGTGCGCGTTCGCCATTAAGAGAACATGAATATGAGATAAAGTGAGAAAGCAACAAGCTATTTTCTCTGTCTTATCGCTTTCAGTTCCTTAAATTCGATGTTCACTCGAGTCTCACTGTTCCGTTTCGCTGTAAATTTCCAATGGAACAGCAGCCTCACATATGATTTTGTATGATTTGCTATAATTTTACATAACATATATAATGGAAAAAAATCAATCGTTCATGCAACAAAAGCTTAGCATTCTTAACAATATGACTTTAATCTTGACACATAATTTTGTCAAATACATTTCATATAAGAATTACGCAGTCTGTTTGAATAAAGCTTAAATGTAAATGCATTCACGAAGAAAAATGAAGTTTATATTAACGTTGTTACATGTTAAAATGTTTGTAGATCTATGAATAGATTTATAGATATTAAAGCAAACGCAATTTTTTGAGATAAATACTTAATATGATCTCTTAATGTGCAATAATATACAACAATATACTACCGGTGCAGTGACCGATGACCTTACCAATTGGTGCTTCTGCTATAACTGCCAGGACTTTGGACTTGATCGTCATTGATTAGGGAACGCTATTTTTTGCAGTTAAATATTGGAGACGAGAGAAAAGAATCCGAAGTTCTGTAACGATGTTTTCCACCTGCATCAAGACGTTATTACAAACTACTAGCAAAGTAAGGTTCTTTTCGAATTCGTCTTAATTTCCGTCTTTCGTTTGTTTCGTTGATTCTATTCATATATTCATATATAAGTACGCGTTCTATCGACTTTGACTTTCAAATTCGTTGTTACAATGTATTCTTATTTTTATGAAAAGCACAAGATAGAGATAAGTCACTATTTATAATTGTTAATTACTCCAAATAATTTTGTATGATATCCTATGATAAATATACTCACTTGCAGTTCAGTGAATTAGTATACATTGAAGGTTGCTTTATAATATATAAAGTATTTAAATAAATTGTGACATAATGTACTCAACTTTGACAATGAAATAATATGAGTATACTCTTTCTAAATAACATGACAATATTATTGTTGCTATTTAATCATTTAAAATATTTATACATTTGCTTTTTGTTAATTTTATGTGCAGTAGTTTCTAGTGCGCTAATCTAGTGTCTAACTGCGTCTGAATTTGTTATTAAACTAACAATAGATAGTAGTGTAGTTGTTTTCTAATTGTTTTTGAAATTTAATTTAAATGTCTCATAAATGTCACTTATTTTCAGTTTGCCTCATTGGCACGTTACGAATCTACTTTGGTCATTGCAGAGCATAATAATGAAAATCTATTCCCACTCACTTGCAACACATTGACAGCTGCTAAGAAGATCGGTGGCGATATCACTGTATTAGTAGCTGGTACGAAATGCCAAACAGTTGCACAGAATGCGTGCAAAGCCAAAGGCGTATCTAAGGTCTTCCTCGCAGATAGCGATGCGTTTAAGGGATTTACTGCAGAATCGTTGACGCCACTTATACTTAAACTATGCAACGAACATAAATTTACACATATATTAGCTGGTGCAAGTGCATTTGGCAAGGCATTGCTTCCTCGAGTTAGTTTACAATTTATTCTCTTCTAAGAAATTATGTCAAACCAACTATGTCAATTTTATGTTAATTCATATAAATCTATTTTATTGAAGGTTGCAGCCAAGTTAGATGTATCACCAATAAGTGATATTATCAACATAAAAGCTTCAGATACCTTTGTACGTACCATATATGCTGGTAATGCCATTGAAACTCTTAAATCTAAAGATAATGTAAAGATAATATCCGTAAGAGGTACTGCTTTCGAGTTGCTACCTTTAGAAGGTGGAGATGCTAAGTGTGAAACTGTCCCTACTGACGATTATACTTTAAATCAAGTGCAATACATCAAACAAGAGCTCAGCAAATCCGACAGACCAGAATTAACATCTGCCAAAGTTGTGATTTCCGGTGGACGTGGAATGAAGTCCGGAGAAAATTTTCAACTGCTGTATACATTGGCAGACAAGCTCAATGCGGCGGTTGGAGCATCCCGTGCCGCAGTCGACGCTGGTTTTGTGCCAAACGATATGCAAATAGGGCAAACTGGGAAAATTGTTGCACCTGTAAGTAAAAAATTAATTGCTAGAATATACTTTATTGGAATAACTCTCGTCTCAATCTTATCTCAAAAACCAATACTTTATGATTATGATTTTAGAATCTCTACATAGCAGTTGGAATTTCGGGAGCAATTCAGCATCTTGCTGGAATGAAGGATTCCAAAACGATTGTAGCTATTAACAAGGACCCGGAAGCTCCCATTTTTCAAGTAGCAGATTATGGATTGGTCGCAGACTTATTTAAGGCTGTTCCTGAATTAACGGAGAAGTTATAAATTGCAAACAAAGCTCATATAAACTTTATATTTCAAATGCTTATTTTTGTATATTTTATTTTGTATATTTTATTGTATTGTAATACAGAAATTTTAGAATAAAATTTTTATGATGGTTTTTAATAAAAATCAATTTATAATTTTAATGGTTACAATCTGTTTACATAATGTTAATAAAAGTAAGTTAAGTGTATTTTTTAATAATAAAAACTACAAAAATTAATAAGAT